AGGCAGGAGGATCATTGCGAGTTCAAGGCCAGCCAGGGCTAAGTGAGTTCAAGTGAGTTCAAGACCAGCCTGAACTGCATAGTAAGACCCTGCCTCAAAAAGACAAAAAAATAAAAAATAAAAAAATAAAAGCTGGCAAGTAAGGAGAAAGCAAGCAAGCATCTATTTCTTCTTCTTTTCATTTCTTTTTTTTTTTTTTTCGGTCTTTTTGAGACAGGGTCTCACTATACAGTTCTGACTGGCTTTGAGCTCATTTTGTAGCCCAGGCTGGTCTCGAACTCACCACGATCCTCCTGCCTCAGCCTCCCAAGTGCAGGGATTACAGGCGTGTGCCATCATGGCCGGCTATTTCTTCTTGAGTAACCTCTGGGAAGCCAATACTGACAGAAGACAGTTGTCTTTAAAAGAATTCTGGTCATCAAAGCAGAAAGAGTGAGAGAACTGCAGAAGCACCACTGTGTACACTGAGGGCCACAAAGCATGTGGGCGCGGGTCAGCACCCACTCCAGTCTGCAGGACTCCACAAGGCCCCTCGCCACTGCTCGCTCACCTCACAGCAGGGAGTGAAGAGGGCTCCGTGCCTCCTGAGCCACCCCACCCATGCTTCCTTGCCAAAAATGACTCCGTTCTGATAGAGCCTCCAGGGTTATGTTCCAGTTAACAAGGGAACCCAAGAAACAGAGGGCTCATTTAAAAAAACCTCGTAACTGCAGTTGGCAGAGTGTACAGAAGAAAAATCCAACTCCTTCAAAGAACCAAGGAAAGACAAACCAGCAAAATGGCAATGTACAAGCCTGTAATTCCAGCACGCAGGAGGCTGAGGCAAGACAATCACTGGGAGTTTGAGACCAGCCTAGGTTATCCAACAAGACCCTATCTCCAAAACAAAAAAAAAGAAACAAGAAAGAAAACAAATGGCAATGCTCAGACTTGTCCACATCCTTACTCTCATCAACCATGTACACATGTGTCCACATACACACAGGTCTCAAGTATGCTGACATGACAACTGGGAAAATCTGCACTCTCAACTCGAAAGATACTAAGATATGACTGTTACAGGAGCCGGGGATATAGTACAGCGGCACAAGCTCCTGCTTGGCAAACACAAGGTCATGAGTTCAACTCCTGGTACCAAAAATAAATAAATAAATAAAATAAAAATAAAAATTACAGTTACAGTGTAATTACTTTAAATGTGGCATTCTATTTTGATTATCTGTAGAATGTGCCTCTACTCTTTTTAGAGGAACATGCTCAAATACTGTGGAATTTGCTTTGTAAAGACCACTGGGGGTGAGGCTGGGCTGTCATCTGTACTCCCCTATACATTTAGAAATTAGCCTTAAAAACGAATTACAGCCAGGCATGATGGTGCATGCCTGTAATCCCAGCACTCGGGAGACTGAGGCAGGAGGATCGTTGCAAGTTCGAGGACAGCCTGGGTTATAAAGTGAGCTCAAGGCCAACCTGAACTGCATAGCAAGACCCTGTCTCAAAAAAGACCAAAAAAAAAAAAAAATTACAGCCAAGCATGGTAGCACAAACCTCTAGTCCCAGCACTCTGGAAGGCTGAGGGAAGAGGATCACAAGT